CGGTAACTTGTTCAGTCCACCTTTACCCCTTGCTGTACCCAGTGAACCCCGGTATGCGTATGTGTATGTGCTGCAGTCCCCGGTAACTTGTTCTGTCCGCCTTTACCCCTTGCTGTACCCAGTGACCCATCTATGTGTATGTGCTACGGTCCCCGGTAACTTGTGCAGGTCGCCTTTACCCCTTGCTGTACCCAGTGAACCCCGGTNCCTTTACCCCTTGCTGTACCCAGTGAACCCCGGTGTGTGTATGTGTAAGTGTTGCAATCCCCGGTAACTTGTTCAGTCGACCTTTACCCCTTGCTGTACCCGGTGACCCCCGGTATGTGTATGAGTGTGTGTTGCAGTCCCTGGTAACTTGTTCAGTCCACCTTTACCCCTTGCTGTACTCAGTGACACCCGGTATGTGTGTGTGTGTGTGTAGCAGTCCCCGGTAATTTGTTCAGTCCACCCTTACCCCTTGCTGTAACCAGTGACACCCGGCATGTGTGTGTGTATGTGTTGCAGTCCCCGGTAATCTGTTCAGTCCACCCTTACCCCTTGCTGTAACCAGTGACACCCGGCATGTGTGGGTGTGTGTGTTGTAGTTCCCGGTAACCTGTTCAGCCCACCCTTACTCTTTGCTGCAACCGGTGACCTGCGGTATGAGTAGGTGTGTGCGTTGCAACCCGGTAGCCCCGCTCAGTCCTTCCTCTTCACGTGACTGGTGCCTTCCGAGAATATTATGAGGTGGTCGGGCACCCGGGGTAGGGTTAAGAGTTAGGTTGTGTCCGATAAGCTTTCACTGTCACCTTCGCTCCCCCAATCCCGAACACCTCCAACCCCTCTTCCCCCTCCATCACCCACACCCGCCCCCATAGCCGACCACTCTCAACCCTTCTTCTTCCTCCATCGCCCACACCCGTCCACCATAGCCGACCACCTCCAACCCCTCTTCTTCCTCCATCACCCATACCCGTCCACCATAGCCGACCACCCCCAACCCTTCTTCTTTCTCCATCACCCATACCCATCCGGCGTCCACCATAGCCGACCACCTCCGACCCTTCTTCTTCCTCCATCACCCACGCCCGTCCACCATGGTCGGCCACCCTCGACCCTTCTTCCTCCTCCATCACCCACGCCCGTCCACCATAGCCAACCACCCTCAACCCTTCCTCCTCCTCCTTCACTCACATCCGTCCACCATAGCCAACCACCTCCAACCCCTCTTCTTCCTCCATCACCCTCACCCGTCCACCATAGCCAACCACCTCCAACCCTTCTTCTTCCTCCATCACCCACACCCGTCCACCATAGCCGACCACGTCAACCCTTCTTTTTCCTCCATCACCCACGCCCGTCCACCATAGCCAGCCACCCTCAACCCTCCTTCTTCCTCCATCACCCACGCCCGTCCACCATAGCCAACCACCCTTTACCCTTCTTCCTCCTCCTTCACTCACACCCGTCCACCATAGCCAACCACCTCCAGCCCCTCTTCTTCCTCCATCACCCTCACCCGTCCACCATAGCCAATCACCTTCAACCCTTCTTCTTCCTCCATCACCCAAAACCATCCACCATGACCGACCACCTCAATCCTTCTCCTTCCTCCATCACCCACGCCCGTCCACCCTGCCGGCTACCCTCAACTCTTCTTCCTCCTCCATCTCCCACACCCGTCCACCATGGCCGACCACCTCCGACCCTTCTTCTTCCTCCATCACCACGCCCGTCCACCATAGTCAACCACCCTCAACCCTCCTTCCTCCTCCTTCACCTACACCCGTCCGCCATAGCCGACCACCTCCAACCCTTCTTCCTCCTCCTTCACCCACACCCGTCCACCATAGCCAACCACCCTCAACCCTTCTTCCTCCTCCTTCACCCACACCCGTCCACCATAGCCGACCACCTCCAACCTTCTTCCTCCTCCTTCACCCACACCCGTCCACCATAGCCGACCACCTCCAACCCTT